GGGGGGGGGGGGGAAGAAAAGAAAAAGGAAGAAGACACCAATCATGTGCAATCTCAACATTAACAGCCTAACCCTTATCTAATAGTTAATGTTATGTAATCTAGTATAGTCTAGACTATACAATATTTGTTCATATTTATAAACCCCAAAATAACTAGTATGAAAACTCTGGAAAGCAAAAAACAAGAAAGCATCCAAAAGCATTATATAAAATGAAATTAGAGAGGTAATATGAGCATCAGATTGTTTACAGTTTTCACTTCTCTATAATGAACACCTATAATGAACACAAATAAAGTGAACCTTATAGCCACAAGCAGGTTCATCACCACCTATCTCAAAACCTCTTTGTTTCATAATTGTAGGATCAAGGGATAAAATAAAAATGAAATGCATATACCCTGGGTAGTACCCCTCTTTTCTCCTTAGACATGTATGAACTAGACAGATCACACAACACTTGTAATTTGTCACCTTAAGACACCTTTCCATTACAGTTAGAATCATGCACTTTGAAGATAACTGAGGCAAAGAAAACATTTATAATGTCAATATAATTATATAACAACAAATTTTTCTTTTTAAAACTTTAACAGGGAAAGACCATCAATGGAAACTTAAAGAATAATGAAGAGAATAAATAACAAAAAGAATTCACTGTGGAAAGATCTCATATGTATTTATGGCTATAATACAACAGCCTAAGTGTATAGTTATAACATTGCGTGTATAGTTATAACATTGCATGTATAGCCTACAAAATGTCCTATTATATCAATAAAACAAATCTAATAAAGAGCACCACTGCCATAGAAAGAAAACATTTGGTGGTCAAGGTAACAAGAGTCCAAGACCTATGTTCAATTTTTTGCTGTACACTTGCTTTGGCATTGAAGGCTGAGAAGAAGGCCACAAAGTCCTTAAAGTTTAAGCCATCCACCATCTTAAGAAGCCTCCATAAGACAAAACAAATCTAATTCACAGATACTGTACTAGTATCAAGAGAACAAATCCAATAAAAAGCACCACTGCCAACAAAAGAAAACATTTTGATGGTCAAGGAACCGAGGCCTATGTTCAATTTCTGTGGTATACTTTCTTTGGCACTGAATGCTAACCATAAGTCTACAAAGTCCATAAAGTTTAAGCCATCCACCATCTCAAGAAGGCTCTGCAAGACAAAATGAATCCCATTCATCACCTAATCAACTTGAAGTCTTTTAGGTGAACTCAAAATCACACATTTACACTACTGAAATACCATGAATGGACTGTGAATTCACACCAAGCTCTAAAGAAGTCATTAATTAAATCACCACCTCAACTAAAAGCTACCTGAGAAAGTGGATTCATCAAAAGTCTGGAACTAATAAGAACTCATCAACAAAGTTATAAGTCTTGCATTTCTATATAACTGGCAAAATCATTAATACAATGATACAATTCTTGCTGGGAAACTGTATTCCACAATCAAAACATAAAGAACTAAACAACAAAAAATAAGAAATTGATTCAAGGAAGGAAAAGGATAAAAATTGAAACCCATAGAGTAAGGCAAAGTTCTTGAACTTCTTCAATGTCATAGTGAGTTAGCGAATGACTTGCTCCCCATCTGTCTCACTATAAAAGCTGCAAAATTTAAGCAAACAAATGTCTACCCATAACAGCCACGACCCATTATGACCATGTGCTTCTCATAGAAATAGTAGAATCTAAAATAAATCAGAACCTGAATCATTCAGAGTCAGATGATGTAATTGAGCTTGGTAGGCTATTTAGCTAACTTGAACTAAATCATTGTTTTATTCAGTAGAAATCCAACAACAAACACAAATATCACATGAAATTAACTTTAGTTTTCTTGTTTCACATTAGTCAGAAAAATGAGAAACCATCAAGAAGAAAGAAAACAAGCTTACATGAAAAGTGATGAATTGTGTTGGGTTGGTTTGGGGAAAGAAGGAACAGAGTCAATATAAATACTGTGTTATGTGAGGTATGTAGTTGTTTATCCAATCTTTTCATTGTACTTTTAATATTTGTACTTTAATCATCTCAAAGTCTCACTTTTTTATTTTCTTGTTTTCCTTGATGGAATAATATAGTTACACAAAGGAGTTTAATATTTCCATTTTTCTTTACCCTGATAAGTGGAGTTTGCAATAGAACTAGCAAAGGAATTTATGAGCTTTGCATGAAACCGAGAAAAATGACCAAATGGATCTTGCCACCATTGTTTCTAGTTATTTTTTAGAATCACGAAAATTTTCTCTCCCCAACTTGCAGAAACTAGGACTAACAAATTTTATACCACTCATTATTTTAGGCACCAAAACTACCTTTCAAAAACCAAGACATGGTTGTAACTGGTGGGCAAAAGGCTCATTTTAACATGTCAAAAAGCTTATATTATAAGTCTACAACAACCCATAACCATGCATGCATGTCCTGACAAATTTAAGTGGCTCATTGATATGTTTGTCCAATTCAACATCCAAATGAGTCTCTTAAACTGACAAGGGACAGTTTATGGGGTATGGTGGGCTTAGACATTTCTAGGCTGTTTAGGGTAAATTTAAGCCTTCCACAGCGTGCATTAACACTGAAATAGGGTTTGTGTGGCTGTCAAAGGTATGAAAAAGAGGGAAAAACAAAAAAATAAGGAGAAACATGGAGAATCCTAGGAGTGACACCTCGGTTTCTTTAGGTATCACACCTAAAGAACATAAAAAAGCCTTAAACATCACACCTAAGGTTGGTCGCATCACACAATCTCAAAGCATAACATGCTGAAATTTTCTAAATATTTGGTTGACTAGATTGTATAATGAAAGAAGTTATAATCATATTTATGATCCCAATATTATTAAATTAACAAGAAATGGAATTCCTATTCTAAAAGAATTAAGACTCAATAAAATAAAAATACTCAAGACACCTAATAAGACTCCCAAATAAGACTCCTAGATAAAAGGCTAATCCAATAAAACTAGGAACACAAATAATAACCACGCTTGAATAAAAGTAACTTCTTATGAATCCCGATTAATCTAAATAACTCTTCCTTAGCTTCATCTTGTTCCTCATCATAAAATATTAATCCTCACCTATTCTAATCACAATGCAGACACAAAACTACTATGCATCAAAAATCAAAGAGTAACAAAGAGTAACAAGAAGCAAGATTCAACAGTCAAAAATCAAACCCTTTTTTCTTTCACTCATTTGTAGACATATAAAGCATGTGTGTTGTGAGATGGATGTTATAAGCTCAGGAATGGATGATTTTTGAGACATTTGAAAGTGAGGAGAATCTTTCTATCACAAATGAACAAGTCCATACACTCAAGACTCAACTGAATCCAGGATTAAAATTGTGCAAACCATTTATAGAAAAATTGAGCATTGCAAACGAACAAAATATATTGAAGATGAATTCCTTTTAGCCGATACCACCTCTAAAAATAATACACAACAAAAGAACATAAAGAAACTACCTATCAAGTAGTCAACCATGTGAAGTAATGAAAATTAGATCTTCACTCTACAACCCCAGAACCAAAATAATCCTTTCTAGAACTTGCAATTTGCATGCTTTTCTGATGCTCTAATTTAGGACAATCTCAGATGCACTGACCCAATCCACCACAATAAGCACAACCTTTAATACCACTTGCATTGGTGATTGCATCAACATCTTCCATTGGATTATTAAGCCCAACCAAGACAGGTGGAATCCTTTGTTTGGCTTCTTGCAAGAGGTGCTTCAAAATCAAGAAGAGTCGTCTCACTTTGACTTTTATTTATAAATGTTGTTGCAATTCCAGTTTTACCACATCTCCCAGTTTTTCCAATTCTATGGACATTGTTTTCAATTTTTGTAGGCATATCATAATTAATCACATGTTGACTATCTGGAAAATCCAATCGTTTTAAGGCAACATCTGTTGCAACCAAGACATCTTTCTTGCCAGCTTTGAAGGATGAAATGGCATATTCTCTCTTTTCCAGATCCTTGCCTCCATGAATGGCAACAGCTTCCACTCCTTTCAGGAGAAGATATTCATGAATATCATCCACATCAACCTTATTCTCACAAACTATTAAGATCAGTGGAGGGGTTTTCTGTAGGCATTCAAGAAGATATACAATCTTTGCCTTTTGCTTCACATACTCAACTTCTTGAATCATGCCAAGATTTGTAGCTCTAGCTCTTCCCACATTAACAATAAATGGCTTTACTAAAGCACTTCTAGCAAAATTCTGAATTTTGGTTGGCATGGTAGCAAAAAAACAGAAAGGTTTGCCTTTGAGCTTTAAAGTGGTCAAAAACTTCCCTTATGTCATCTTCAAAGCCCAAATCAACTAATCTGTCTACTTCATCTAGTGTCAAGTACCTGTGAAAGGAAAAACCAGCTGCTTTATAGCCATAATGTATATAGAGGTAAAACAAGAATACATAAATAGCATATATAAACTGATGTCTTCTAGGAGTAGGAGTAGGAATAGGAGGATAAAAAATACTGTCAGCTCATATTCAACGAAATATAGGATGTGCTTAGGATTGCTATGAGCTGTTGTGGCAATAGTTGTACTAAACTATATTGTGCTATAGTTGTGGTTGTAGTTGTGGCTGTGTCTGAAAGTTATTTTAGTGTTGAGGAGTGCTAGGGGCACTCGCCTCCTGCACTCTCCGGCCAACACTTTCACTTTTATTGGGACACATTATTCTAGTTGGTAAGAGGTTGCACTGCAAAGCCTGAAACAAGCTTACGTGGCCCAATGAAAAAGGAAGTGTTGACCGGAGAGTGCTAGAGGCAAGTGCCCCTAGCACTGCTCTTTAGTGTTTGATTATTTATTTTTTAAAAGTAATAATGGATGAAATATGATAAATTTTATTAATTCTTAATTAAATCTTAAAAAATATTGTATAATGTATAACTATTAAAATAGTTAACATTTACTACTTAATAATTTAGGTTTTTTATGTTTCGTATGATGCATGTATTTTTGGGATTTGTGGGAGACCAACTCATAAGGAGGGAATGAGTTTTAAATTTTTTATAAAATCATTCAAATAAACAAGAGGTTAAGTTTAAATAATATTAAGTTTAAATAAAATATTATAAATTATGATGTAATTGAATTAAACGAGATTTAGTTTTAATGGATAATTTTGTAATTATATTAAATATTAAGTGTTGTCTCTGAAAGCCACAACTAGAAAGCTCCAAAATGAGGCTTTAGGCTTTATATATAAAACTATTGTAAATTTGTTGTGGCTTTCTATAATTTTTAGAAAAAGTAACATGAAAAAAAAATTACTAAATACATATTTATCTAAAAGCACTGTACAGCTATAAAAAAAAGCTCTCAATTGAAATCCCAAATGGACCGATAATAGTGTAATAGCAGATGAGAAAGAAAAATACACAGAACATAGTAGAAGGAAATAAGAGAGTACAAGTATATAAAGAGAGATGCCTCAATACAAACTAGCTTGCTATAGAATGAAGAAAAGGAAAGACTAAAGAGATGGATGGATATGGAACAAACTTCGCACCAAGCACAAAAACATATAAGGATTGGAATTAATATATAATTATAACATGCAAGTCTGAAAGGTTTCCTAAGAGAAGGGAAACTACACATCCCACATTGCCACTAATTACAAATGAACTCTAAAAGTAGATACACATGCAAGATTAGGTTAAATTTGTCTAAAACAGACTGCCACTAAAAGGTAGCAGATTATCTAATTCAATATGGTGCTACTAGAATAAATCAAAGGATAATGCTTACCTGCAGTTTTCTAAATTCATTTTCTTCTTTGCAAGCATATCCTATAATCTCCTAGGAGTTGCAATAACAATATGAACACCCTTCTTCACAACTTCCAATTGGGATCGCATATCTTCTCCACCAATCCAAAGCAAAGGTCTTAGTTAAGGATAACCATATTCCCTTATGGAAGTCAACAACTGCTCTACCACCTCATAAGTCTACTTAGCAAGTTCCCTTGAAGGATAAACAATCAACCCAAAAGGTCCTTCTCCAATAAGGATTGGCATCATCATTTCCTCTTGCAAAGCAATCATAATCATTGGTAGCACAAAGACAAGTGTTTTCCTTGAAACTGTAAATGCAATACCAACCATATCTCTTCCAACTAAAATCACTGACAACCCTTGGACTTGGATGAGGGTTGGCTGTACCATTCCCTTGTCTTTAAGCTTCTTCAAAACTAGCTCTAGAAACTTCATGTCTTTAAAATTCTTGATGGGTGGGGGAATATCTTCTCCATCAACAATAATATGCCATTGCTTCTGTATCAAATCCTGCTCTTACTTAGACATCCTTCTTATATGAAAAGGCAGCTTCCAACTAATCAACAAGGGTCCATGTAAGTGATTTCTTCTACCAATTCCCGCACAGACATAAGCATCTTCCTGTCTAATAAGCGCTCAATCATCTCCTTCTCTTGCTGCACAGTTTGCTCTATCTAACTAATTTCAGATTAGTTCCGCTTGAGCTTAGTAGCCTTTACAAGCAAAGCCAGGCTTTGCTTTGGCAAGTTTGGACTTGTCAATTTCATCCTCTAGCGTGGAAGTCTTCTTCTTTTGCCAAAGGATTTTCTGAGCTTCCATGGTGTAAGGATAGGTCCAAGGTTCTTAACCTCAGACGTACTGTTACACTTCGTTAATAACCGAAGTGAAGGTTAAATCCAACACTTTCTGGTCAAACAACTGTATGACAGGTACAGTGAACGTGTCCACACCTGATTTCCTAGTCTTGAGATCATTGCTTGAAGGGACACGTCAAACTCTGATTATCTTGTTAAGCAAGCCACGTGGACACCTCTTTAAGGCTTATAAATACCCCCAAGGGCCACGTCAGAAAGGTAATTGAAATCAACCTAAAGCTTTTTTTTCCATTATTCTAAAGGTAGATCCGATTATTGCTAACTTAAACATCGAAGTGTCTACCCCGAGGATCCACCTCGGGCTTTGCAGGTTCATCTAGAGTGAAAACATGGACTAAAGGAGGACTTCTGGTTTGGTGCAATTACATTTGGCGCCGTCTGTGGGAATCCGAACTAAAAGCTCTCTTGTTGCTCTTTCATTATGGTTAACACTCGGTCTGTTCGAGCAAGAAGTCAAGCTTCGCCTCCTGCCTGGGGCCAAGTTCAGTACCTCAATAACCTTTCACCTTATATCCCAAATCTATTCCCTCCTGTTGAACATGCAGAAGGAGGTGATGAGAACCAACCTCACAATTCAGCTCTCATCCTGAACCAAGGTGATGCAGTCTCAACTTAGCTCACCATAATGCAACAACAGTTTGGTGTTTTTCAGTTGGTTTTGGCTTAACTTTTAGCTCGAAATAATCCTGGTGATCCCCTCATTAATCTGCTTAACCCTACTCAACAACCTCCAATTCAACAGCAAAAGCCCCAACCAGTTCAACATGCTCTTGCCCTCAATGAATCTCAAGGTCAGTCTCATGTGGCCTCAGCTCAACAACCTTTACTTGACGATGTCACAAGACATCTAGACAGCTTAGAAAAAATGGTAGCCGAGCAGTCAGGTGCTCCACCTCCCCACCATAACACTACTTTAATACCTCATCCTCTAAACACCAACATAACATTGGAACCTTATCCTATTGGTTTCAAGATACCTCAGCTCAAAACATATGATGGAACGAAGGACCCAAATGACCAATTGCATGCTTTTTACTCTTATATGCAGGCTCAGAATGCCTCTTATGCATTGAGGTGTAAGATCTTTCCTTCCACTCTCCGAGGTAATGCTCGAACGTGGTATTATAGTCTACCCCTGAGATTTATCAGTTCTTATACAGAGATGACATCTCGCTTTGCTACAAAGTTTTCCAATAGGAGGTTGATTAGGAAAACTACTTCTGAGCTTATACGAGTCATGCAGAGATGGAGAATCTTTGAAGAATTACATGAGCAGATTCAATGATGCAGTTCTGGAGGTTAGCTCATTTGATCAGGTTGTGGGAATTGCGGCTGTAATTTAAGGTCTTAACCATGAAAGATTCAGGGACAACTTAATTAAGCATCCCATTGCCACTTTTAACGAGGTTAATGACAAATCTTTGAAATTTATAACTGTTGAGAAATATGCCTTGTCACAGAAGCCAATTCCTACTAAGAATCAAGGCCCAGTTTGGAAAGATGAGGGCCAGAGCAGAAAGTGGAGGAAGACAATACATAATCAAGGTCCAATGTCGACCTCCACACCAAGATTCAAAAGACCAAACTCGGTACCTCTCCAACAAACTATCAATAAAGCACCAATTACATGGACTCCTTTCAATCTATCGAGGTCACAACTATTCATGTAGATCAAGAATAAGATGGATTTGAGGTGACCAGGGCTAATGAAAAGTTTTGCTGCTACACATAATCATACTAGATATCATGATTTCCATCAAGATCACGTCCATACAACGGAGGAGTGTAATAGTCTAAGGTCCAAATTAGAAAGTCTAGCTCAAAAGGGAATGCTGAATGAATATATCTAGAGAATAGAGCAGTCGAAGTTTGTTAGAGAACAAGGGCCACAACCACAAGGATCTCGTAATGCAACAAATAGGCAAGGCGTGGGATATGAACAAACCCCACCTCCACTTCCACCACCAGCCAAAATTATACACATGATTATTGGAGGATTGGAAGCAGGGGGTTTGAGCTCCAAGCAGAGGAAGTTGTATGTCAGGGAAGTGAAGCATCAAAAAAGAGCTAAGAAAAGAAAGTTTGATGACTCTAACTAGAAGAATCAACCAATCACTTTTACACCTGTTGATTTTGATGCGGTTGTAACACCTCACAATGATCCTTTGGTCACCTCGATTATAAGTAATAACTATGAGGTACAACATGTCCTTGTGGACATAGGGAGTGCACTACATATCATGTATTATCATTGTTTTGAGAGTCTAGGCCTAGATCCAACTCTATTGCAAAGGTACGATGGCCCTATATATAATTTCAACAACCAACTTGTTCAAGTAGAAGGAGTCCTTACTCTCAATGTTGCATTTGGGAGTGGTCGAACCTATGTTACCCCCTCTATTTGATTCTTAGTCATTAAAATGGCATCATCCTTCAATGTCATTATTGGTCGGCCCACACTGACAAAGATCCGAGCTGTTGTTTCTCAATCTCATCTCTACATGAAGTTCCCTGCTCCTATGGAGATAGCGACATTATGAGGCAACTAGGAGGTGATAAGACATTACTATATTACCTTAGTTACAAGGCCTCAGAAAGGAAAAGGTCAAACATCAAAAACCATTTCACAAGAAGTTCATGATAACCAGTAGGTCATGGGGGTTAAGGTACTTGTGAGGCACTTGATAACAAACTTGAAGATGAAACTCGAGCTACTTCAATTGAAGATGTCGAGGAAGTGAAGATTGATGACAGAGATCCGAATAGAAAGATACAAATCGGAACTCGGTTGAACTCAGAGGAAAGAGCAGAATTAATAGCTTTCCTTTGAGCTAATAAAGACATTTTCGCTTGGACCTCAACAGATATGCTAGGGATTCCAACCTCGGTATCTCAACACAAGCTCAACACCAATCCATTGAAGAAACTAGTAGCCCAAAAGCGGTGCCTCTTTGGGGGGTGGGGGAGGGGAGAGGCTTAAGGTCATAAAGGAAGAGGTGGAGAAACTCATACAGGTTGGTTTCATTAGAAGGATTGATTACTGTGAGCGGATACCTAATCCAATATTGGTTAAGAAAGCAAATGGCAAGTAACAAATGTGCATCGATTACACAAATCTCAACTAGGCTTGTCCCAAAGACTGTTATCTGATGCCGAACATTGACAAACTAGTTGAGGCAGTTTTTGGAAATGAGAGATTAATTCTCTTAGATGCATATTCTGGTTATCACCAAGTCCCGATGGCTCCTAAGGATGAAGAGAAGACCTCATTCTACACAGGTGATGAAATATATTGTTATGTCATGATGCTCTTTGGCTTAAAGAATGAGGTGCCACTTACCAGAACATGGTGACCATCGTATTCCGAGCTCAGATAGGCAAGAATCTAGAAGTTTATGTCGATAACATCGTGGTGAAGAGCCGAGAAGCCAAAGATCATTTAGCTGATCTTAATGAGACATTCAACAATCTGAGAAAGAACATAATGCAATTGAACCCAGCGAAGTGTACCTTTGGTGTGGAGTCTGGAAAATTTCTAGGCTTCATGGTATCCAAGAGGGGGATTAAGGTTAACCCAAAAAAGATCAAAGCAATAGCTGAGATAGAATCACCGAAGTTAGTGAAGGATGTGCAGAGATTAACGAGGAGAGTGGCAACTCTCCATAAATTTATATCGAAGTCAGTAGATAAATGTCTACCATTCTTCAAGATCATGAGGTCAGCAACTCAAAAGGATGAATCTGGCAAGTAGAAGAAGTTTGAATGGAACTTAGAATGCCAAGCTGCATTCAATGAGCTGAAGTCTTATCTTAACTCAATCCATTTGCTAACAAAAGCTATAGATGGAGAGATCCTTTATTTATACCTCAGTATCTCAGATGAAGCAATCAATTCTATGCTAGTGAGAGAAGAAGGGAAACAGCATAAACCAGTTTATTATACTAGCAGCATACTACACAGAGCATAGCTAAGATACTCTATTGCTGAGAAAACAACGTTAGCAGTTGTCACTTCAGCCAAAAAGCTAAGGCCATATTTCTAGTCACACCTAATCATAGTCCTCATAGACCAACCTCGTAGATAGATTCTACAAAAGCCAAAATGCTCACGAAGATTGATCAAATGGGCTGTGGAACTGGGGGAATTCGAAATAACGTTTCAACAGATATCCGCAATCCAAGCTCAAGCACTAGCAGATTTTACTGTGGAATGCACCTCAGATCACTCAAATTCTAAGCTCGAGCCGGATAGCTGGGTTGTATATGTTGATGGAGCATCAAGTAGCAAAGGCTCTAGAGCTAGTGCAATCCTAGTTGGCCTAGATGGATACCGAAATAAGCATGCTTTGAAATTTCATTTTGATGCAACTAATAATATGGTCAAATACAAAGCTCTGCTACTTGGCCTGCAACTAGCACTGGAACTAAAAGTCGTGGTAATAAAGATATACAGTGACTCACAGCTCATGGTTAATCAAGTTAACTCAGTCTGTGATGTGGTTGATTTTGTCATGATGAAGTATGTAGCCCTAATGGCTGAGCTATGATGCAAGTTCCATAAAGTTTGTTTGAGCAAAATACCCTAAGCTAAAAATGAACAGGCAGATTCACTTTCTAAGTTTACCTCCAATAGCTCCCGAAGCTCCAGATCAGTTTTCGTTGAAGTTTTAGATGAGCCAAGCGTCTTGAAGTCAAAAATGATGGAGATCAGCACAGATCCAAATACATTGAGCTAGACAGATCCAATTGTCTCTTTCTTACGAGATGGGTCAGCGCCTGAAGATAAGCAAGAAGAGATGAGGTTAAGGAAGAAAGCATCTCAATACACATTTGTTGATGGAGTCCTCTATAAGAGATTTTCCTCACTTTCTCTCCTCCGATGCTTGAACCCTTATGAAGCTAAATACACACTTTGGGAGGTGCATGAAGGCATAAGTGGAAGTCATATTAGCGCTAGAACCCGAAGTCATATTAGCGCTAGAACCCTGGCTCATAAAGTCCTCAAACAAGGATATTACTGGCCAAATATGTATAAGATGCCACCCAGTTCATACAAAGGTGCCCGAAGTCTCAATTCTTTACACATTTAACTCACCAACCAGCAGAAGAGCTCACAAACTTGGTGGCACCATGGCCATTTGCTCAGTGGGGACTTGATCTTTTAGGCCCCATTCATGAAAGGAGTTGAAGGTGTAACCCATCTGGTCATTGGTGTTGATTATTTTACGAAATGGGTTGAAACTCGACCATTATCCAGCCTTACCTCCAAAAAGGTCAAAGACTTCATTTTTAGCTCAATCATCTACAGATATGGGATCTCGAATCAAATTGTGGTTGACAATGGCGCTCAATTTAACTACTCTTCATTTAGAGATTTCTACTCCAACTACAAGATCAAACTACAGTTTACCTCGGTATACCATCCAAAGTCCAATGGTATAGTGGAATCTGTCAACAAAGCTATCCTAGAGGGAATCAAATCGAGGTTGGAGCAGCACAAGGCTAGGTGGATAGACGAGCTCAAGAACGTCCTCTGGGCATATAGAACCACGAGTCGAACTCCCACAAGAACTATTTCCAACTTGAGTTACTTTCATACTACTTTATTCCTTTTTCTACGACTTTATCTTAGATCAAATGTGCATAACATATAAAGCATATTCTAAAAACTATAACTTAATAAAATAGGTGAAACACCCTACCACCTGGCCTTTGGTACCGAAGCAGTCATTCCTATTGAAATAGGAGTCCCAAGCTTCATGGTCACCCATTTTGATGAAAGATGAAATGTACAACTGCTTCGGGAAAACCTTGACATGCTTGATGAAGTTAGAGAGGAAGCACGACTTTGAACTTTGGTGTACAAGCAAAAATTAGCCAATTTCTACAACAAATGAGTCCACCTTCGAACATTCAAAGTTGGCAACCTAGTTTTGAAAAATGATGCCCTAACTAGGTTTGAAACTTGTTTTAACAAACTAACACTGAACTGGGAAGGCCCTTGTATAATGGCCAAAGTGCCGCATCCTGGTGCCTATATCCTTCAAGACACTAAAGGGAAAAGAGTTCCTAGACTCTGGAATGTCAACAACTTGAAGAAATTTTACCCTTAATCCACTTCCTTCAGTGAACTTTGTCTTATTTCCCTTTATGATTATTACTTCCTCTTTCTAAGATTAATTGCATTCATTTAAACGTTCTTCCAAGATCAATTTGTAATTCACTTCATTCTTGGATTTCAATTCTATTAATGAATTTCACTTCACATTTGATGTGATTATCTTCATCTCAGTTCTTATGTTAATAAAATCCAGAGCAAATTTTACAACAAACTTCAAATAAATCCATGAATTGATTTAAAAACATTACAAAAATGTTCAACATAAAATCAACAAATTGTTCCAATTCTAACTCAAAACATAAAATAAAAATAAAACCCTAGCTACTCTGCTAGGGGAGGTGGCTGTTGATCTATAGGAAGAGGTGGCTGCACTTCTTTGAAGGGAACTGGATGGGTCTCCACTATAAGAGGTGGTTGGCTCTCCTCAACTTCAGTACCTTCTGCCTCTACTTCCCCTTCCTCCACTGCTACGAACTCGAAGTCAAAATTCAGAGGAAAAACAGTGCATCCTTCTTCATCACGGTCCCACCTCAGCTTAATCTAAGGTCAGAAATCAATTGACATACTTTCACTGTTCTCCTCCACTTCTTCTTCTTGTTCTTCGAAGGTGATCTTCATTACATCCACTTTGAGATACTCAACTTTCACCTTCTTTCCGTAATCAGTGAAGGCAAGGATCGCGGTAGACAGCCGGTAGAGGTTGACAATATTGTCAAATGAACTAGAGTTGAAGAAATTGGCAATGTGCTCTTCCATCCCATTATGCACCAATAGCTACACATTCTTCTTGAACTCGGCCTCAGATTCTTTCATTCTCTTTCTCTTTATTTCTTCCTCTTGTGCTTCATTCTCTTCCTTGCACATTTTTCTCTTCTTCTCTTCGAATGAAAGAATCGTCTTCTACGAGTCTCTCTCATTTTGTAAGCTCGTCATTGCTGGTATTGCCATATCCAGGTCCCTCTGCATTTCTCCATTCTTCTTTTGCATCTTGTCTCTATCCTTCTATAGGCTATTACGCTCATTAACGAGTTCCATGAATTCTTGGGCTAGCGCATTAACCCAGGTTGTAGTTTGCAATATCAATACCAATTAAAGAAAAAACAAAAACAAAAACAAGCACTAAGACTTATTATCACTAAGCTTACCTTAAGAGCATGCTTCACAACTGAACTCCCTCCATAAATCAGCACTTCCTCCCTTACTCGACAGCGATCCACTTTAGAAACATATGAGTTGATGAAATTTTTCACTGTCGATAGATTCTTGTTCCCAAAAATGCTACTCTAGAGGGAAGGAGTAGGAACAAGAGCTTTACCCTTGCCATGGGTTGTAACCCCAATCTTTCTAAGCACAAGATCAAGCTCAACAGGAGGTGGCCGAGGTACAAACTCCACTACCTCATCCCCCCTAACCTCCTCCTTTGCCACTTTCTTCTTCTTCTTCTGAGCTGGATCCATTTCTTCACTTCTTTTTCATTTAGGATCCAACCTTAGCCCATCAACATCTACAACTTGGACTGCTATACTTGATATTTGCTATTTTTCCTTATTCCTATCTCTTTTCCCACTTACAGTAGTCTCACAAGTCTTTGCTTCTTCCTCGGCTTCTTGGGAATGGCCATCCCACCAACAGCACCCAAAAATTTGTCCATCTCAACTACAAAATAACAAAAATGTTAAAAACGTAAGTTAGAAACTAGCATTAAATCAGGCCAAACAAAACACAAACACACCTTCACTCAATGAGTTTGGCCCATAGAGCTCAGCAACGTCTATGACATCCGAGCTGGTGAGGTACATGATATCCAAGATTTCACCTCCCTTCTTCACCAACTTCTCCACCTCTTCCTCCTCATCACTATTTAAGCTATACTTATTTTAGTTGGCTTTCTTAGCCTTCCAACTATACAAAAATTCTACCTCTCTATCCCTTCTTTCCTACTCCGTATCATCAACAAAGAAAAATTTTTCCTTTCATCCCTTAATGGATGAAAGTCCTACACTAAATAAATAAATTCCTTTTTCCTTTGTTAGACACCTAGGGTGTGAAATAATACCACCCCTTCTCCTTCCTACTCCCAACCTTAAGCACAAAAAAATGCTTAAACATATTTACAGTGGGAACCCTGACACCCCAAGTTTGGCAATAAACTAAAAACCCAATAATTACCCTAACTACATTGGGAACTAATTGGGTTAAACCTATACTGTAGTCTGACAATAACCAAACCAGTAATTCTAGGATGGGAAACCTAAGCCCTACTGCCAAATAATGGGCATACACAAGCATCCAATGATCTTGGGGTATAGAGCATGCCCTCTCCTTCACTCCAACAGGCCTAATTAAAACTTAGGAAGGAATCTCATACATCTCTACTAGGTAACTGAGGCTATCCCTACTCTTGAGTTAAGTCTCATAACCAGTTACCTCAGACACAATGTTTGCCCCAATATCATAACATCTATCAATTCTATCTCCCACTTCTAATATATTTGAGGGAATCCCTTTCCCCTCAACCTCAGCCACCTCATTTCCTTTCACTGCTTCCTCTATCCTTTGACCCAAATGACTCACTCACCACACCCATGTCACCATACTCCAACGCCCTCACTTCCTCGCTCCCCCCAACGCTCAATGTTTCCTCAGAAGACATCTCCTCAGTTTCGTAACTTTCACTGCACGAAGTAGGGGGGAATGAAGGCAAGATCTTCAAAAAACTTTAACTCACGCTCAATATCACTCTCACTCCTAACCTTAACCTCCTTAAGAGGGCTTAAATCTAAATCAAAAAGGGTGAGAGGAGAATAAAACTCGTCACTAGTATCAGAATCACCAAAGTTCATAAGTTACCTGATTTTAGCAATGTAGAAGAAATTTCAAAGTAAAAAACGTAATGCAAGACTCACTCGCACAAGCACAGTTGAAATTTTGGCAGCACTTCGGTAGCAAATACGACAAAAGTAAAACTCTTTTTACAGAAGTATAGCTATATATACTAAAGAAACTATATGCCTCAATGGTTGTGATTAATTTTATCTGACGGTCACGATTACACCATTTCGAACTCGTCTCTAATTCGACGATTCGTTTTTTATTACGTCTGTTTAACTGTAGTAGTTACTTTTTACAACCTGTAGTTATTGTACACGTCTTTCAAAAGATAGCTGTCGTATCACGTACTAACTCTATGTCAGGCTTTTTACACGGGCCCAACTAAGCCCAATCCAAGTCCTTTTGCTTCCCCAAATATCTTTTAATTTCACAAGTGTTTAACCTCGAATCACACTTTTTACCTCAGTTCTGGCCACAATGACTCTGGTCATTTCCTTTTACCTCGGTTCTGGCCACAATGACTCCAGTCATTTCCTTTTACCTCGGCTTTGACCACAATGACTACGGTCATTACTTTTTACCTAGGCTCCAACCACAATGACTATAGTCATTACTTTTTACCTAGGCTTCGGCCACAATGACTACAGTCATTACTTTTTACCTAGGCTCTGGCCACAATGACTTCGGTTACTACCCATTTTACTTTGACTCCGGCCATAGTGACCCCGAGTCACCCATTTTACGACGACTCCGCCCATAGTAACCTCAAGTCACCTATTTTACTTCGACTCCAACCATAGTGACCCCGAGTCACTCATTTTATTTCGAATCCAACATTCTCCCCTCATTACTTGGTCTTGTGATATTTCATCACATTTTATCATGCATTCCCCGTCATAACTCAAATTTTTAATAAGATTTTATTTTATTCTTAACTAATCTGTTTTGTCTTTGTTTGCTTTGTTAGGTTCATGAGTAAAATGGGGGATTTTTGTGAACGATTGGAAAGAAGTTGAAGGATGAGGGATCCAATTGAAAAGATGAAAAGTTGAAGGGTGGAATACATTAAAGTTCAACCCAAAACCCATTTACACCTTAAACCCATCTTAAATGGCCCAATTCCAACCCATTTTAAATTTAAGCCTTAAACCCAAAAAACCCAAAATCAAAATCCAAAAAAAACACAAAACCCAAGTTCAACCCAAACCCAAAATAAACCCTAGTTTTCCTTTCTCTTTAAAAGGGGAAGGATGTTCGGCAGTGAGGGAGGGGGCGGCAGACATTCAAAAAAAAGGGGGAAAGAAAGATACAGCAGATCTGGTTTTGGGGCAGGGGAAGAGTTCGGTAACCAAAAGAAAAGAGTGCCTTCTCTCAATTTCTTTCCCCATCCTTGGCCTTCCCTCAATTTCTTTCCCTACCCATGGCCTTCCCTCTTTCCTTCCGTTGTAATTTGGCTTTCTTTCTCTGGGCATTCTGCAAATCTGGTTTTTGGGGAGAAGAGCAAGGCACAGCAACTAGAAAGTGAGGAATGTTTGAGATGTGGTTTTGAAGAGGAGCCATCGGATAAAAGGGGTTGAATTCAGATTTGTTCTTGGGTTCCATTTTTCTGATTTTTGAAGAGAGCCGACATCAATAGCCACGGATCTGTGGTCTTTTCTACGCCTCACAGTAGCCGCTCACCATCTTCTCCATCGCACAGCAGCTAGCCGGCCGGCCTTCTCAATTTTCTTCCATCTCTGCTACTCTGTCTTGGGTTAGGTATTTTCTGAAACAGAGGGATTTTAGGAAAAGGGAGTGAAGGAGACGAACGGAGCTTGATCCCGTGGGTGGGATCCCTCCTCTCTGATCTGGACCTACCTCCTCCTAAAAATTCCACCGTGGATGTTTCTGTGATTTTCTGTTGATTTTGTTTAGATCTGTGTTTAAGCTTGTATTTAGTTTGTTGAAAAATGAATGGGAATCAAAGATTGTTCTGTTTATTTTACGTGTTTATTGCTGAAAATGAGAAGTAAAATGATGAACTCTAAATTTCTCTTCATGACCTTTGGATTTGGGTTTTTGTTCAAGATTTGATCTGTTTTGTGTTATCTGTTTGAAGGATTGTGTTTTTGGGTTATGTTTGGAGAGGGTTCGATCTAACCCGATTCAGTTAAAAAAAAAAAACTAAAAAAAAGTTAAAAAGTAAAAAAAAAATAATTAATAATATAAAATTATTAATTAAATAAAAAAAAGTTAGTTTAATTTATGATTAACGAAATTAATGAATTTTAATTAAAATAAATTAATCATATTTATTGAGTTTGATTTGAGATAATTAGATTTATTTAGTTATCTCAATTAATGATTAATAAATATGATTAATTAATTTTAATTAATTTTAATTAATATTAAGTTAATTATTTAATTAGGTTAATTATTTTTGTTAATTAATTTGAATTTTCAATTAACTTTAGTCTTGGTCAAAGTCAAAGTTATCTTTTATTTTACCTCAATTTCATCCATAAGTTTTATGATTAAGCAATTTAGTTCTAGAGTTTCAAATCTTTTCAAATCAGTCCTTCATGTTTTCAAATTTAATCAAATTAGTCCCTTTAATTTTATTTGTGTTTGTGATGCATGCTTGTCTTTGATTTTGTCCATTTTAGTCCAAACATTTTTAAAATGTTTCCATTTGGCTTATCCTTCTGTCAAACTTACCTATTAAGACCCAAACATAAACATAATAAATAAGTTGAATTAAAAACCCCAATGTTAAAGTATGCAACCGTGTTTAAACGGAGGATTGTGAGGTGCGCATATGCCCTTCCTCACTCCTAACTGAACTCCTGAACCTCGATCTTTGCGTAGACCCATTTTAGGTAACTTGTCCCACCTTATAATTTGGACGAGTGGCGACTCCGCTTTTCTTTTATATTTTCACACTTAATCTCATTTTAAGTGGTCGTCAACATTCCCCAATAAAATATACACTTCCCTTACCACTTCTAACTACATCATTCACAAGTGAAGACTTCGAGGGGGGAATAGTGTAAGGATAGGTCCGAGGTTCTTAACCTTGGACGTATTGCTACATTTCGTTAATAACCGAAGTGAAGGTTAAATCTAGCCAAGGGAGTCAATACCGTACTGGCATGTGCACCAGTTTTGTTACTGAAACGGTAGATACCGGATACCGAAATTTTTTGCGTGCCGTTTCAGATTTATCGCTATAAATATATGTTTTATAAATTAAATATCAAATTTTAAAATAAGATAAAAGATACTAATATTTAAAACCATCATATTCTTATAAATTGAAAACAAATTTAAAATAGTTATTTTTAATCTCTCAATTTCTAATATATGCATATTTTTTGTCTATCCATTTTAAATTAAAGGACTAAAAATGTGTATATTTAGACAAATTTAATAGAATAATTGATAGAATGACTAAAAAAAATGAAAAATGGACTAAAAAAGTACCTAAAAAAGTTAAAGGATGAAAATTATGTAAAACATTAAAGTTGAGAACCAAAAATGAAATTTACTTTGTTTAAATTTGAATTGAGTTCTATGGAACAATTTTTGTGTAGCAGCAACAGTGTATAATCTGAAATTGCAATTTCAAGGTAATTAAGATTAAGAAGCCCCTAGCCCAAAACGACGTCGTTTTGGACTAGGGAATCCCTTTTTTTCTTTAATTTGCCAGTGTGTACCAGCTAAAATTGAAATTTCGCTTGGTATACTGGATTTTGACCGAAACGAATTTTCATACTATAACTTTCGGTTAATACAAAAAATCGATATATACCGACGATACCAACCGGTACGATACAAGATTGACTGCCCTGAATCCAGCACTTCCCGGTCAAATAGCTGTATGATAGGTATAGTGAATGTGTCCACACTTGATTCCCAATCCCAAGATCATCGCCGGAAGAGACACGTCAAACTCCAATTATTTTGTTAAGCAAGCTATGTGGACACTTCTTTAAAGCCTATAGATACCTCCAGGGATCACCTCAAAAAGGTAATTGAAACCGACTTAAAACTTCTTTTTTCGTTATTTTAAAGGTAAATCCGATTATTGCTGACTTAAGTATCGAAGTGTCCACCCCGAGGATCCACCTCGAGGCTTTGTAGGTTCATCCAGAATAAAGACACGGACTGAAGAATGACTTCTAGTTTGATGGAATTTCACATGGCTCAACGCTTGGCCACGGGAGCATACTCGACGTAATCATCCTCCTCATCCATGTTTCTACAACACCAACACATTCCATCCGTCACCCAATGATTAAATATGTATAAATCCCTAAAAACACTCAGCTTAGCTCAAATCTTAGAATAAACTAGAACTAGAAGAACTAGAATGCTTAATAAATAAATAAATAAAAACTTAAAACAAATGAATCTAAGAACTGTGAATGACAACTAACCAAAAAATCGGAAAACTGCTCCGGAAACGAGTTTTAGTGTGAAGATCGAAAGGAACTCTACCAAAGGAAATTTTTATAGCTGGAATTTCTCCTTGTATTAGGAGTGGGAGGGGAGCGGCTGGCCGGAAGAGAGTTATCAATCAATCAATCCACCAACCAAAAAAATATAAAAGCTCAGTCATTTGAGCTCTCAAAAATGCCCCTAAACAGTGCTTTTTTAACTGGTGTCTCTTCCTGCACTTTTTTTAAGGAGAGTGTACTGTTGCTGATTATTCAACATTTTTGGCTTCAACTTTATGTTTAAATAAAAATTAATAAAAAAAAAAGTCAAGGAAAGAAAAGAGAATGAAAGGAGAATAAAAACTTAACACTAATTTTGTTTGTGCAAATTTAAAAAGAGAAAGACAAGGGAAAGAAAGATTATATATTTTTATTTAATTAAATAAATTAAAAAAATAATTATTAAATTAATTAAAATTTTATAAAATTATGTATTAAAACTAAAGTTAAAATAAAAATTAATTGTATGTAAAAAAGTAAAAAAAATAAAATAAAAGTATCTCAATCTTTTTCAATCCCCTTAATTAGAAGGATTAAAAATAAAGATTTAAAGGAACTCCATCCCTCTTCCATCTACCTTCCTTTCTGTCTCTTTGACTTTATCTAAGCGAGAGACAAAAGAGACCTTTCCTTCATTTTCTTTCCTTTTCACCTAAACTCTCTCAATCCAAACAAAAGCATTGCATGGATTAAGCATCTTTTTACATAATTTTTCAAAGGCCTATCACTATAGTTGGTTTGTTCATTGGCCTTCCCCATATTTGCCCTTCAACTCTAGAACTGTTCATCATCCTCTTCGTCATTTCGAGAAAGGTCTACGAACTAGGCAAAGACATTCGTTGATCTATTCTGGATGATTCTTGAAAAAAAAACCCTCATTTTTCAACTTTTTTTTTTTATCAGCAAAATCTCATTTTTCAACTTTTCAATGGTCTCTTTTGGGAATTTCTCCACTTTTTTAAGTACGATGCATTATTCATAGACTATTTGTCAATTGTTTCTATGTTATTCATGCACCAGCTATTAGCTCTTTGTTTATGGGTTGATTAGCACAGACAACCTAGTCAACGACCAAATACTGTATCTTGTATTATTTTTTAGGAAAAAGCAAAAATAGTACATTTTAGCATTATAAATGATAAAATATTTAATAATGTTAAATTATGAATTTGACATATTTAGGGTTTACGTTATATTTTATATATTTAATAAAAATTTTAATATTTTTAATAAAGTCTTTTATCAAAAATATATAACTTAATTAATTATAAATAATAATTATTAATGTTTTATGTCCTACAATCTGTTTTAATTATTATATACACTTGTTAATGAGTAAAAGGTAGAAAAGTTTGTTCTTATAATATGGTGTTAAATAATATATTATTATTAAACCTTGACTATGTTATTTTAGAAGATGTTTGTGTGTAAATTAAATTTAAACATATCAAAAAATTAGTCAATAGTTTGGATTATAAAAATTTAGGTGGAAAAATATTTAATAAGTGTGTTATTTAAGTAAACGTTTATAAAGAAAAGATTTAAACATTAAAATTTGGAAAGTGTAAATGAGATTAGCCTATGTCAGAATCTTCAACATAATTGTGTATAGGTGCATTTATTTTATGTATAAATAGTTTTTGATACCATCTTAATTTGGTTAGGTTTTTAAGTCCAATGCTAGGGAAAATAGGATTTTCTTTTCGTAATTTTCGTTATTTTAAATGTATTTAATTAATAATTTTTATATTATTTATATGATATCTCTATTATTCAATGTGTTTTTTATGAGTCATTAAAAACTAAGTAATTTTGGGTTGTACTTGTGATAATTTAATACAATAATGGTTTTTTTTTCTAAATTGTACTGTTAATGATTTGATGTCTGCGTTTTATGTTAAGTACGTCAGGGTGCTTATAAGTTATGCATTTAATGTAGCATTTAATATTGAAAATAGTATGATTTTTGTGAGATAAATGTTATTTTGTTTGTCTCATAAAATGTTTATATTTAAATTTAGAAAATTGTTAGGTACTATAATGTAATTAGTTTTCAAATTAAGATATCAATATTTAAAAATGTGGATTTATGAATTTTGAATTGAGTTTTTGGTTTCAAAATGAAAAATGATTAATATACACTCAATTTAATACTTTTTTAATTATTGTATTAATTTAATTATTAAAATATAATATAAGTAAAACTGATTTAGCATTGTTATTATATTTTGGATGAATAGTTATATCTTTAAATTTATTTATCTCTAATTTTAAATAATAAAATAATATTTTTTAATAAATTTATTGTACAATGTGTTGAATTTGAATATATATTAATTAGTGTCCCCATATTTAATATGTTGGTTTTTTTTATTTTTAAAATGAGTTTTAATTAAATGAAAAAATATTGTTGTCATGCCCCAGAATCCAAATCCGAGGACGCGACAGACGCCGTGCACCCGTGAGACAGGTCCTACCAGTGCACAAGGATCGGAACTTA